TGTCTTTTCAAAATAGTTTTTAAAGCCAATAACTCAGAAGAAATTAATCCGCTTTAATTCTCCCATTTACCACTAAACAGTTAAAAGAGGCTTTGGAACATGGTTTATTATTGTAGCATAGGGACAGATGTGGTTCTTTTTAAAAAATGGCAAGGTAATTTCTGTACAAATAACAGTAATTAAAATATAAACTTGTGAAGTGAAACCTTACAGTTGCACAGTGTTGTTGCCCGTGCTGTTGGGTTTTGGTATAATCCGAATAGGAATAAGGAAGGTTTAAGTTACTTTTCTGGCATGCGTCACCTCTTATGAAAGTTTTGTGTTGAGCCCTAGAGGGACAAGGAAGGGGCTGGGGTCATAATGAGCCTAACTGATGTTATTAGCAGGTCATCGACAACCTCAGGAAATACTCAATGGGTATACCGACCTCTTGAATGGTCAAAAAGACACTCACTGTATTAATAACCCAAAGCAGTAAATGGAACATTTCTAATACAAGGCAACATCTTAACATTCACATTGAAATCTTTTTAACTAGCTCTGTGTCCGTGCAGATTTATTCATGTATATAAGAGTATTTGCATTTTTGTGTGTGTGTGTGTGTATGCAAATTAACAAACCTGTCTTCCTCAAGGGGAAGTCGTCCTTGCTCTCTATGGGTGATGGCAGAGTATACTGGCAGGTGGGGGATGTGCCTCCCAGAGGTGGAGAGCTTTGGTCCAGTGACGTGTGGTGAGAGGACCTGATCACACAAAAATACATACAATCTAAAAGAAGGCAATATAATGATGCAGATTATTTTTCTATGTAATTTAAATTTTGTATCTGTATTTGTATCACACTTACACACTTAAAACAACAGAAAATACTTACGTGTACCAGAGTTTTGGGTGGTGGATGAAAGAATGATTGACTCCATTGCTGCCAAGGTCTTTTGCTGATTTGCTCAACAGAAACTCTTGGAGTTTCTGCTTCACCTCGGTACTGGCAACTGCACCTGTGAGACCAAAAGACGGAAGCAAAGGGATTGGGGTTACCCTAGGGCTATGACTCATGATATATTATTGCACAGAGAAGATTACAAATACAAAACTTACCCTAACCCTATTGCTATTGCTATCAGATTTCCTAACCAGTATGCCTATATCACTTTTAACTTACTGCCTAACTTATACACTTACAGTATCTTTTAGAACAGCCACAACTTATGTAGGAAGATCTCCCCCTAGTGGTAGCAGAGCACTATATTAGTTTCAAACTGCTAAAGTGATACTGCAGAGATGTTCTTTCCCATTAGTTACAGGGCAGAGTTTCAAATTACCTGACCTGACAAAGTCATAAATCTAGTCTATTATTAGGTATAAGGTATAAACAGAAATGAAATACTATATCTGAAGCTATTTTCATCATGCTATTGAAAGACATTTTATCCTAAATTCTAAGCTTAAATGTCACTTGGCAACCTAATGTCATCAGTTGCATGTACTAGTTAAGTACCATGTCATCATCATATCATTGGATATTTCTCTTTATCTGATGACTAAAGTAAATTTAAACTTTGCAATTAGCCTTTTCCCCAGGCTTCCTCAAGGACAGTTAGATCTAATATCGAGGAATTGCGTATCCAATAGCCAGAGACATAAAATAAGAACAGGTTGCCCTGCTTATGAATAGCAGTTACTTTGTCCCGTGCAGTGAAAATGATACACTATACATGAATTTCTAACCTCACTGCTATACATCCAAATATAATCCAACTCAGAGTGCCATTAACCCTGGTAAGTAAGAGGAGGGTTAGCTTATGAGATATCTGTTGTATTTGTTGTCACTCCAGAACAATGAAACAATTTGTTACCCTGGCAAATAAATCCCAAATCTCTGCATGACTATGATTTTTTGTTTTCTAATTCATCATTTAGGCGTACTGATCCTTTGACAATATGAATGTGTTCTTTTGATCTTATCGCTTTGTAATTACTTATTTGTCAAAAATTATTGTGTGGATGTTAAATGCTGTATATAACATTTAAAGTATAGTAAATACTTAAAGTAATAAATACAGCAGTTAAAAACCTTTTTATTTAACCCCTTTTATTACAATAAAATATAATTTTATGGCTACATTATGGGCTAAGTTATGACTATTATACCTACAAAAGCTATTGTGAACCTCTACTGCAATCCTGCCACATGACTTAAAGGCTATTATCCTAGTAATAATGATGATAACAGAACATATATATGAACCAATGCAAGTATTTCCTCAGCGTGTGGGGCATTCAGCTACAGTAAAGCATTCCTATCCAGCTGTTATATGCATATTTTGCTTAGACCCCACTCTAAGGTAACGCATAAAATAAATGTTTGAAAAGGGTGAGGATTACGATTATGGGCCACCCTGCTTTTGCCTAGGGCCCTTAAAATGACTAATTCCACCCCTGATCGTAAGGAGATGGTGATGATGACGGTGTCGAGCTCTTACTCTCTCGGGAGCGCTCTTTGCCCCTGAGGATCAAGCTGGAAACATGCTGCTCTCGCCGATGCCTCTCCTGCTCCTTCTCCTGCTGGTTCTGTTGCTGCTGCTGCTGCTCCAGACGACGCTCCTTCTCTGCAAGTTCCTGCTGCTGTTTCATGGCCTGGAGCTCCTGCTGGAGCTGAGATACATGCAGGCTTCAAGTCAGCATATAGAGAACACCACTGATAAATATATTTTTAACACAACAGTGGCTTATGTGAACTTCTGCAGTTTCTATTTTGCTGTGATGGACTATTCTGTACTCGTCTGTAAAAACAAAACTCACGCTGTTCTGTAATGTATTGCTCAACATTCTGCCTTGCTGTGCTGAGTTGTCTCTTCTTTTCTGCACTCTGTAATGTTGTCCTGAGCTATAATGTTTTCTACTGATCTGCACTATCCCATGCTGTGTTGTGCTCTTCTGTTTTGTACACTGTGGTGCTGTGCTGTGCCACTGTGTACACTACTGTGCTGTCCTCCATACAACTGTAATTCTGACCTTGAGGTGCTCCTGGAGCTGAGCCTGGTGCTGACGGGTCAACTTCTCATGCTGCTTCTGGAACTCGCTGATTAGTAGCTGCTTCTGGATCTGCTGCTGCTTCTGAATGAGGAGCAGTTCCTGCTGCAGCTGCCTCTCCCACAGTCCTGGGTCCGAACCTGGCCCCAGCATCCTCAGATCAGTGCGCAGGTCCAAAGGAGATAAGGGATCCACAGCCAATGGCACGTCTGGCTTAATGTCCACTGTGACCCGCAGAGGGGAAAACAAGAAAAAGATTTGTTAGTCCCTTAATTGAACCTTTACTTATATAAATTTAAACCAATCCAAAAAAGGTGGCTGTGGAAAGTCTATCTGTATATTGCTCCAGAGCAAAACATGTTGTCCAGTGTTAAGAAAGATTTTAAATGAGGCGTTCTGTTTTAAAAAACAAAAAATAAAGATGGAAGGGTCAGAGATGAGGAGCACAGCTTTCTCTCCTGTAATCTTCAGAAACCTGCAATTATAATAGTTTCTATAAACAAACATGGGATCACATCCGTCAGCATAGAGTCTACTGGGAGCAGCTGTATAACAGACTCAATGGACATTTGGCACGAAATGTTGAAGTGGTCATTTTAAGTATTTACATAAATCCTATCTTCCCACTGTTTGATAAATAAATAAAGGGAGTCCTTTTCCCTCTATCTACCAGAACATCATGCAGATATCCCTTCTTAACATAAATGATTGAAGGCAAAGTAGTTTGAGAGCCTGGAACCTGCATGTGTTTGTGAATTCATGTTCTTGTGATCTTCCACAGACGCTGTAATGCGTGCATTGTAAGAACTGCCTTTGTCTTTGACAACTACCTCCATTATAACTAATTGCCAGATACAAAGTGAGAGGGCATCCCTTTGGTCTCCAAGCTCTATATATAGGTTGTTCCACAGAGAAAATCGATTGCCAGTTAAGAACATAGGAGACAGGGCTACTTCATCTCTCTATTCCATAGAGGATGATTAGTGATTGTACAATATTTTTCTTTATATTTTTTATGCTTCTGTTTTCATCCACACTACTGTATTTAGTTGAATCCCTGCCACAAGAAGAAATTGTTTTTTTCTACAGAATTACAGCTCTGGACCAGTTTTAGGTATTAAATAAGGTATGTAGGCCTACATTTGATCAGTGATTAAATAAAAATGTCAGAATCTTGGGAAAAAATTACACGTTAGTTATGCTGATCATGATGTGACATTCAAGGAAGGGTACACATTGTCCAGACTGTATAATGTCTCTTCCATTTTAAGACCAGAGAATTATTCAAACTTACTTAAAATTCCAGTTGCTGGAGGGAGATTTATTGAGTGCATTCATTTCTGTAATCTTCTCAAGGGTCACATTTGAGGGAACAAATACAAGCAATGTTACTAACACCACCTGTTCTCTGGAGGCATGAGAGACGACTAACACATTAGAATTTATATGTTCACATAAATAATCTTGTGTTGGTCCTGTTGTGCATTTATCCTCATGAACTAAAATAAAATGCCAATAAAAAGGAGTTTAAACCTGCCAAGAGAAGCACCGTCAGTCTACAGTAGCCATCAATTTGGAAGCAGTGCCCTCATGTTCACTGATGCTGGGAAGCTCACTGGCGCCCATTTGTTTTGTCATGTAGCCTGTTTTTCATTGCCACCATTCCCTGTGAATGCGGCGGTGATGATTATAAATAGAAACATAAAAGCAAGTGGCGCAATCCTGGTCTGTGACAACCCCCACACCCTAGTATCCACCACCCTAACTTGCCGCTGCCATGGCAACGCTGGCGACGTAATTATGTCTCCCCATCCTGCAGATATCGAGTCTCACTGCATGTCATCTCCTGCCTACAGTGGCAATGTGACATGTTGACTATTATATCAGCCTTTCAGCTCTTATATAAGAAAGGAGTCCCCAGCAGAGAGAGATAGAGAGAAAGCATTAGAAAACCCTACACACACACACACACACACATACTCTGTAGAGATTCAGTGGCTAAGTGATAACTTGTCTTAAAACATGTTCAAAGAGTGAAGACAGCTAGAGGGGACTCCCGTGCTGTAATTTTTCTCTGTGTTCTAAAAACAGCTCCAATCAAATGACAGAGGAGGGCAACGGCTCGGCAGGCACAGAGAACAGGCACCTGTAGAACAAACCCTTCTCTCCTGACAGGGAATATTAATCTTAGCTTGTAAGTACTTGACAAAGGACTCTTTTGTAGCGGGCGCTGTTCCAGGGGCAGCCGTGAACCTGTGAACCAGTGAAGGGCTCAGAGAGTCAGACAGCCTTACTGCTACTTTTGCCTAATGGACCTAAATATAGCAACAAAAAAACACCTGCTGCCTGGGAGAATTCACCACTGAGATATCTAATTAATCTCATATTTCATTCTGTACCCTCACTGTGACTGGCATTAAGGATCTCCACTTTGATCAGCACATCAAGCTGAGCCTCCATCAGAAAATCTCAGACAGTGGTTTAACAGGACGGGAAGGGGGAGGAGGAGGAGTGTGAAAGCGTAAGCCACCTTTGATAACCAAGGCTGTATGAAATGGCCCTTGAGGAAACCGCAACAGCCTCATGTGCCTGTTCTGCTCTTGTCCACTGTGTCTGCAAGAATAACACTGGATGGAATGACAATGTTGAGGGAACATAATAAGGTCCAGAAGGTATGTAGGCATTGTTTGAGCTCCGCTGAAGCCTGTGCCTAATGTATAATTTACTACTTACATTCCTCATGATTGACATCATTCTCTGTGTTGAATGGAATGGAGAAAAGGTCAAAATGCAAATGTATTTTACTCAACCACAGAATAAATTAGACCTACAAATCTGTCACAAATTTACATTTGATATATCTATGTCAAATGCACCCTAAAACTACCCCAAACTGAAATTTGCTGTTTCTCTATTACAAAAATACTCCTTAGGCAAAGGAGAATACGGAACCACCAGTAACTAGGGCTAAATATAAATGCTTTTCTGAGCAGGGTCTTAATATAGACAATGTGCGAAAGACTGTCACAGTTGTGAGGCCGCCTGCTCAATTTAACACGGGCAAAAATAAAAGCGCAGTGTTGCATTTATGTAACTTTCGGGTCACTTTGAAATGATCACTCTCAAAGAAGAGCCTGCCACTCCTGGTTCAGTGGTCCTGTAGTGCCACTGCCGATAATGACTCTTGAAAAATTGAAAATTTTGAAAATCGTGAAAATTAGGTGCCTCCTGATTGATGGAAAGTGCATACAAGTGTCTCTAGGCACTGGTAAACACGAGATTTATGAATGACAGGTCCCAAATTTGTTTTTAGCACAAGGGAGCGACAAGCACCCTGCCCCATGCCCAAATTCCTCCCTGTGGAGGGCCTGCCAAGAGGGGATAGGGTGACTCATGGCCTGTGACCACACTCCCACTGCAGCATCGCACCGCCACTGTCCCCAAAGTGTTTATTTCTATAACCGATCTGCCTCTCATTAGCCTTGGTGGTGGTTAGAGTGACAATCACAGCCTTAATTTAAAATGTTGGATGGCTGTCTTTTTTTTGCCTCAAGCCACATTAGCAGACTTCCCACCCCGGAGAGAGAATAGACACACATCAACAGTGACATTACTATTACATGTGAGGAGTCTGAAATACATTTATACATATAGTAAAACATTATCAGCGTAAGTCAATATACAGGCTCAAAACTACCAGTTTTAAAAAGCACCTTGACATTTCAATGTAATCTTTTTTTATTCCGCTAGCACATAAACCTACAACTAAGGTGAGAAAATTAAGGTTTAAGGTTATTAAAATTGTAAACAGTACCTGCTGAATATAACTGCAGCTATTCTTTCAATCTTAACAAGTTAGTTTGCACTTAGAGGTACTTTTGGTATCACAAACTAGGGCTTAATCATATTGAGATTTGATCAAAAAAGAAAAAAACTTAAATGCTGCTTTAACACTCTTGATAAACAAATTCAAAGAGAGTTTTCTTGTATGGAAATAATAGTTATGTGTACATTTACCAAAACTAATTGTGCGTATCTAACACACGTGTCGAGTATATATACTTTCTCAATAAACATTTGCAAAGACGATAAAGTATTTTAAACACTGCATTGTTTATATCCACGTTTACTAGCTAGCAGTCTTCTTCTTGCCTGTCTTTGTGGGCGCATAATAACATATCTTGGCATGTTACTGCCACCTGTTGATCAGCGGAATAGCATGACACCATTGCTATGACTGTGTACCATGTCACCCGCGAGAAAAACAATACAGGGACCAACACTCAGAAAAACTGCTCCATAGCACTACTAGAGGTCAAAAAATCCACAGGGAACCTTTAAAAATTATTAACATAAATGTTTATTCAGGAAGTAGCAGTTTTTCAGTGATAACAATGCACATATTGCATACGCACTGTGGAGGCAAATTAAGACTAGTTCAACCCCCAAAACATCACCACAATTTAGAGTGTAGTTCACCATTAGTACTGAAGGACTTTATTTCCATTTGTTTTCCAGTCAACATATTCGCGTCTATAAAGGATAGGTGTTGAGAGCGTCTTAACGCAATGTAATACTAACCATGGATCATCAGCATTATATATGATATAATATATATGTATATTTTATTACGGAAATACCAGTTTTGCTAATGTACATAATGGCACACTTTGTGTTTACACTTAGAACATGTTATATGTTGCAGGCATTTAGTGTGCACTACAGATGGTTACTGATCTAAATTCCATGTCTGACAGTATAAATAGAACCAGAGATACAGACGATGTTTGAGGGCAAAAATAAGCTGATGCTTGGGACTGCAATGTGGTGCTGGATCTCTCATTAAGTGCCTTGTTATTTTGAGCAGCTGGCATGTCTAAAGCAAGAAACAGGTCTTTATTTTTAAGACTCAGGCTCGTCCTTGCAGCTGAGCCAGAGCTGCAGCTTGTAGGCTATCGGCTAACAAAGAGAGCTGAGCTGAACCACCACGGGCCTTTCACTGAGGTCAGTCATCTCCTGTCCTGCCCTCATACCAAATCGCCTTACAAAACAACAACAGACAAAATGACATATACTGAATCTCTATCCAGGCAAGGAGAAAACCCATGAAAATGTAGGTCATAATTAGCAAATCTGTCAAGACTTTTTTATATCATTAACAGCCAATCCCTCTGTTAAGACTTTTTTTTCTCATTTTCCTATTCTAGACAACATTGGAACCAGAGCCTACTGTCAATAATTAATCAATCACAAAGAGCCATGGCAAACCAATAAATCAGAGGAAAGCATCCGTTAGCATCACTGATATTAGCCATAAACAGTGTTTTCCTGCAACCTTCATATTAAGAAAAACAGAAAAAAATATGCACAAACGCATTTTCAATAGGGCTTTTTGTTCAGCACACTCTTCAGCTCACTATTACCAATGGTTCAAAATAATAAGTTACTTGTTGTTTATAAGGAGCAACTGTTAAACAATACCAAAACTAAATCTCATATTAATTTGTTATTATGCACGGTCTCTTTAGCGGTGAGCACTTCCAATACACACAATGAGGCAACCTGAATGGATGCAGGATACAGAGGAGAGGACTTAAAAGGTGCAGCATTGTTATTGTCTGAAAGGTCTCTATTGATGGGAGCTTGTATGGTATTTTACATAACATTTTGCATGCATTCATAGGAAACTAATTAATTTCCCCTTGGAGAGCTCATCTGAGGACCGTTTTTGTCAGAACTTTGATGTTACTGACACTAATCAAAATCAAAAATGGAATTATGCCCTTTATTTTCATGTTCCACTTGAAATATAACAGCAGAGAAGTAGAGTATCATATAAAATGTCAAGAAGTTTGCTTTTGAAAATAATTTACAAATAACCTATTGACACAAGGATCACTTCACAAACAATATTCATGATTTAGATAGATAGTTTAATATATATTATTACACAGCTCATAATAATACTTCATACCGCCCGGTGGGGGGTGTTGGTTTAAAGGGAATTAAAGGGAAAATATGTGTCTTAAAGGGAATATGTCTGCTCTACCAACAACATATAGTAAACTCATACAAAATCATCCTGGAGTAGCATTTTTAGACAGATAATGTTAGTCACTGTCAAGTGATTTACTATAAAGTGGAAAGAACAAATTACAACAAGCAAATGACTGAATTCTCTATATATATCTGTTCCAAACCACTGTTATATCAGGAGCATGCCGAGATGGAATGATAACGCACAGACGCCTAATCTTAGCAGGCTAATGCCATAAGCTGAAAATAACTCACCTAAGAATAGCTGACCCACAGAATAAGCAAGGAGCGCGAATTCAGGCGCTCGGTATATCTGTTGTTTGGCTCATAGGCCGCTAAGACAGAAGAAGAAAGCCCTGCTTCTGTAGCCTGATAGTCAAATAACCTGCTCTATTGACAGAGATGGAATGTGTCATCCCCCTGTCATCCTCCTGTCTTATTTTTAAATCTCCTCACGTTTAGCCCACTGCCTCTGGATGATTTCAGTCACCAGTTTTGCTTGCCTGGAGTCAGGCTAAAGGTGGTGCTTTTTTTTTATTTTTTATTTGAGAGTTTTTTTTAACTTATCTTTAACACCGAAAAACCGAGCTAACAGTCGATTAAAAAAATCTTTTTAAAAAGTTAAAATAACTCATGCATCATGTCATCCTCTCTTACTGTTGGTCTATTGTAGTTAATGTAGTGACAACTCAAAGGTCATAATGTATTTTTCAGTAACTCACATGACTCAATCCGTACTTTCTCATTACACATGCTTCTCAGCAGCCCACATGACAATGTTTTCACAGAACAATGCTTCAGCGCTGAACTTATTTCGAGAGACAATTTTTACATTTTATCAAAAGCTACCGGAAGAAAGTCAAAGCAAATAAGGTGTGACTCATCTTGAGTCAATACAGTGAATAGACATTACTCATACTGATGTCATGTAGCCGTGTACTCTTGAATTCAATTCTCAGGTCAAAAATAGAACAGTCAATGTCTGTGGTAAATATCCTGAGAGAAACCTTTCAGTTGTCCCCTCAGTATTTCTGTCACAGTTTTTCCTGTTCACTGAAAAGTGCACGCTAACATGGAAGCTCGCAAAACACAACATCCCTTTCATGTTCACAGTGACTCATTTCAGGCAACTAGAGCATGGGAATAGTGTTAACACATTTCCTCATTTTAGTAGAAAAACATTTTAGTAGAAAAACAAGAGCACCTTTTAACTCATTACAGACATATTTTAACACAGATTAAGGTGACAATTCCACTAAGAAAAACATTATCATAAAGAAGCGTTTACCATCACAAGAGCAAATACCTTGATTCAGGAAGAAGTGCCTGATCCTACCACGTTGCTGTGCTGAGAAGCTTTGAGTTCTCTTTTCACACAGAATGAGAGACCGGCTGGGCGCACAGAGTTGAGAGTATGTGAGAGAGAGAGAAAGAGTGAATGTGTGCGAGAGAGGCACAGAAGACAGTGGGGAAGTAGGAACAGATTCAGAGATAGAGGAGGGACAGAGATTGGAATGCAAAGAGGGGGGAAAAAGACGAATAAAAGCTGAGATTCCTCAAGAGGAGTAGAAACACCGGGCTGTGTGATCACCTGAGTTGTTCACGTTGTGCATCTTGCTCTGGTTGGGGAACTGCTGGTGTCCAACGCGCCCTTCTGTTGTGGAGAAACTTGACTCGCCCTCGTAAATCGTCTGCAGCATACTCCACTCAGCGCTCAGGTCTCATTGCAAGCCTTGCGTTTCCTGTCACCAAGAGCCACCCCTCAGCCACTCAGGGGAGAGACCACGACAACAGGCAACTCTCTCCCTTCCTCTGCCTCCTCCTCTGATTAAACCACTCTCGCTGTAGAAGCAATAACACAATCTGCACACTCTTTCTGCAGGGCTGCTACACTCCCGATGCCCTGCTTCAGTCTGGTCCAAACACTAACACAGTTTTAGAAGAGGATGACAAGTCCAGCTTTTTTTTTCCTTATCTGCCTCTCTCCCTATTTCTATCCGGTCTGTGTCTTTTTCTCCCCTCAGCAAAGTGTCTGAGCAGAGACGGAGAAAAATGTAAAGCTGAGTTGCTAGGAAAGCCGTGTACTGTGCACTGAGCACCTCGCTGAGGCAGTAATGCAAGCCAGGGAGGGAGCAAGCTTCATTTGCATGTGAATCAACAACTGCGTGGCCCACAGGTGACAGAAATAGAACAATGGCCAGCCCTGGCTAAAAATAGGTCAGGCGAGGCGCGGGGATTGGAGCAGCATTGATGCGTTTAAAAATACCACACCAAACACAGCTGTCTTCTTCAGCTCCTGCCAGAAGGCATGTCTCCTGACTCCCTCTCTGCAGATGGAGGCTTGATTCCCCCCCCCTCTCTCTCTCTCTTTTCTGATTTGTTGAACCAGTCTCTCTTACTCACTCTATTTATGTCTTCATTTTGTTCTCTCAGGTACATGGGTGGAATGATCCATTTTTAAAGTTTACCTCTGTGCAGTATATGTTATGTCAAAGGTTTTGTAAAACAGCTGCTTGTTTTTTATGTGTTTTATGTTTTGGCAAATAGTAAGAAAAATTCTGATGATATAATTCAACAAACATAACCAAACACAAACGCAATGGCATTTAGGTACAAATCCTATGTGTGACAAAAACAGGATGTGTTAAGTCAAGCACCGAATGAACACTGTGTTCATTTAAGACTCAGAGTGTAACCTCGCTGCATTAGCTCAGTGTATGTGTGGGGTTCAGTGTGTATCCAGGGCAGTACTGCTACTCAGGAAGCATGCTTTCAGCTAGCCAAGGAAGCCAACTGTAAGATGCCATAACAGCATGATCGCAATTACATAAACCTCTCAAACTGTGTCAAGAACACCTCTTCAGGATTACACATCCCATTTCCTTGAAACACCCTTGATACTGTACAACGGGGGCATTTTCAAAATGATAAACAAAGCACTACAGTATACATATACATGTCAAGAGCTTGAATACAGAATAGAGCACCAAGTAGCTATGTAGTATGACTTTTTCAATTAATATTACATCCCAAACTGGCCAAGATCCATAGTTAATATAATCTGACTCCAGCCCATAAAAGTCAAGTCAAATGTTCTATCTGACCACTGATGCAGGGCTGGGTTTGTGGCCAAGCAGCCTGTGCCTTTAAATTTTTCATCTTCCTTCATAATTTGACCTGTCCCCCAGCCAGGGGCGTGGAGCCAGCACGGCTATTTTTAGGTCCTGAGCTCTGACGACTAGGCTACAGAGACACAGAGAAGGAGTTTTACTGTGTTGTTTCAGCTGGACAAACATTTAACCCCTCAATCCTTTTATCACAGCACAACCAAGAAGCCAAGAAGGAAATACACACAGCTTGCAGGCTCGCCCCAAACATAAAACAACTACCCATGTATGATATTGTGCTACATGATTATTCATAAACAGAGACAACAAGAGGGCTGCACATACATTTGTTTTGATTCCTTAGTACTCTGTAATCACAAAACTCCAATTAATAATCAAAATAAAATATGTATTTGTTGCTTACTCTATGTAATAGCTGAGAAAAAGATGTCGCAAAGAACACTGTGGCAAATTTATCAAGAAACTATTACTCCAAACTCCCCTTGGTGACACATTATAGTAAAACAGATTTAGCAAACTCCTGATCTTCGTGAATTAGTTTTGGCATTCAAGTTGGATAAGATGGTGTGAGAGATAACAAGCCTTCAAGTCCAAGGTAATGATGGCTAAAGACCCAGAGCTCCATCTGTCACAGTATCTGTCAGAGCAGGCAAGCTCTGACCCTGTGGGCTGACCTCAGCGTAGACTAAGGCATAATTTATCAAAAGAGGAAGTAAGGCTGTCACATGAATGACAATTATCATGACAATGGACTCCCTATTTATATGACACACATGACAATGTGATTTAGTCTAAATCTTGATCAAATCATGAACTCAAAAGGTCAACATATATTTAGCAATGTTCCTATGTTTTCACACTATTACTCAATAAGAATATCATATGCTACAAACTCAGAGACTATTTTTGTCATTTAGTTCCGATTATTCCTGTCTGGATCTTTTTTTGTTTTTGTTAATTTGTTGTTTACTGAATGGTCTGCACAATATACATAGATTTGTGCCTTAAATGGCTTACAAAGGTATAGGAAATCCAACTCCTTTATACGCATTTGTAATTGAATAATTAGTTCTCAGAAGGAACCTTGGTCACCTTGCCCTACTGCTCCTCAAAAAGAAAAAATCAACATTTCAGTTAGCAGCGATTAACCTACACTTTTTATTTATAACTAGCTTCCTGAGGCTGATGAGGGATTGTGGGATTGGAAATAGCTCTGTCCAATAGGCAGGGTCCAGTAAACCTGCAATGTGGCAAGCCCATTATAGCTCCTACTGCGTCACTGGCGGCCTTTGTCTACTTTAGTCCTATTAAAGCATTTAAGTGTGAACGTCAGCGTCCCTGCTGGAGAGCCACTCTGCTTTGCTCTCCGGGGCCGGGGCTCGACTGTCTGTCACCTCCCTCATATCAAACACAAACTCTGTGTGTGTCTGTGTGTGTGCGTGAGTGTTTGTGTACGTGCCTGTGTGTATGTTTTGACATCAGAGCACTGACATGGAGTGGGGGAATATTAGAGATGAGGGAACAAGTGGGCCAGACCAGTTAAGTGCCCCTAGCACTTTCCAAATTTAAATGAAAGGCCTTTATAGCCTTTTTTAAAGAAAAGGAGATGTCAGTACATGCACATACACTATGCATTTACACACACATCAATGGGACTAGAAATATAACAAAGAGATACTTGGTACCTCAGCTCTTTCCGTTCTATTTTAAGAAACGGCGGTCAGGACCTAGAGACTTGTTTTTTTCGACCAAATAAGCTTACTCACATTACCACAATTACTGTACCAGTTCCAAATCAACTCCCGAGCTCTGTGGCTTAATCACCATAGCATTGCTGCCTTGTGACACACTGTGCATGATGAAACCCAGCAGGGAGCCAGACCGGAGTAGGAAGGGAGATGAACTTAAGTGTTCCAACAGATACGAGGGGTGGGAAAACACCGTTCCTTATAACTAATTTGATCTGGCTACAAAATGTTTTGTTCCCCTTAATAGCGGATGATCCATGTGTGGGAGGGAATGAGTCAGCCGTGTTTGGTTGTTCCATGTTCTCTGAACTTCAAAGCCCTCATGTCGGGGATTGTCTATTGAAAAATAAACTGATCACAGAGTGAAACTGATAGCCCTCTAACATTATCTTAATCAATACAATTATTCTCTTTAACTTAAATTCATTTTATCCACCTCTCTGACTTTCTGCCTAATGATTTTCTCCCTGCCTGTGGATGCAGAGTTTCATCATGCCACCCTGGGGGGACTGTGGCGGATGTGATCATTGTCAGGTGCTGATTTCTCCAGTCAGAGGGGATGTTCCTCCCAAGAGAGGGGCTGCATACTAACAGCAACTACTGACGTAACCAACTCCCCCTCCCAAGACTTTCTTCTCTCTAGTGGCCACCCCACAGCTCTGGGGGCAGCCCTTGTACAGGAGGGAAATTACCTCTCCACACCAATTACCTCAATGCCCGCTATCTTACTTACATCAGCCCCTGATGAGTCACCATTGCCAACTGTGGAAGAGTTCCTGGATCAATTCAGGGAGTGAAGCCGTGGCACATTGCTGCCCTAGTCTTTGCATGTGGAGTACAGCAATGCTCTGTTCGCAACCAAGCTCAGCCATTTTACCTGCTAAAAGCCATGGGTAAAGTTTTGTCACTTCAAACAACCCATTTTCCCTTTACCTTGCGGTCAGTCTCATAAAAGCACAAAGGCACTACAACTGTTGATTTGATGGTAAAATCCAATTAGCCTGTACATCTGGATGTGTTATGTGAGTGTGTTTCCCCACTAATGATTTGGGCGCTCTTGCTTTTATTGGGTTACTCTGTCTGGTATCCTGTGGTATTTCCTGTTGGACTTTCAGGGTGATATAGAATGCACTTAACAGGTTGGATCAAATAACATGAAAAAGCATTTAAAGGCAGTCATGTTTGGTACTTAATCTTGAAACACTGCCAAGAAAGTTTTGCAATGCAGCTAATAATAACACGGTCAGATGGAGCTCATGCAGCTTTATATGTTTCTCTTGTGAGAGAAACCAAACATTAAAAAGACAGAAATGCTGCTATTTAAAAAGAGATGAATCCACATATAACCTTAAAAGTAAAAAAAAAACGTTCAGAAACATACGTTCATTCATCTGCTGTGAACCTTCTATCTGAGATGTGAGAGACAGGCTGAACCGTAACAGAATTCCAAAAAGGCAAAAACACAATTTCAAAGAAATTTCAAAGCATCCACTTATTGTGCACTGACCTTGAGGTCAGTTTACTTTCTAACTTTGAATAGGTCCCTGATGCCGTGCCTTCATTTGCTGCCATAGGCTTTTTAAAAATAGACGTGGAGCACAAAGGCACACTGGAAACAGAGGGCAGCTCTCAGTATTTTTACTGATCAATGTGCTCATCTCTGCTGGAAACCATTGATCCACAGTTTGTATCAAATTGACCATGTTGTTGTTGTACAACTTCCACCTGACATTCAATGCATGACAAGACCACTTTATGTTTCACTTTGTCCCCCTTGCCCAGCGCCTTCTCTCAAAGAAACACAAACTATTGATCATCTAACGGTATTCTAACACCAAAAGGTTTAGCATTGATTACAGCCTCTGAAAGACCATTCTTAATGTTGGCATTTTAAGCTGGCATTTTAGCGAGCTATTAACCAATGAACATGAAGCAGGATTCAGGAGAAACGTTTTGGCCTGAAACCACAGTGGGCAGAATCATTGCGTCAGTGGCTTTCAGACCTACATCATTGAAATGCCTGCAGAAGTCAAATGCCTCATCCGTATCATACAAACACACAGGCCCAAACAGACGCATGTGACTTTGATGGAATCCAGCCAAGCTTAGCTGACCTTAGAAAATCCCTGAGGGATTAATAAAAACAAAGGTTCCCTGTTCAGAGGCATCCTTCCAATCCACATCCTGCTAGTCGAACCCATTTATGAGTGGATAATCATAGCATCGTCCCTCCCAAGTGCCTCGGAGCTATTATCTTAATATGATAACAAAATATATATTTTTGGTATTACCGCAGCTTTTGAGAAAACACATTTTATCAGGCTTGTTTGTCCTTTGGCAAAATACCAGCATTGTTATTTCAGTCACAGGAAAAGTAGAGGCAGTGTTCACCCAAGTACCAGATTTTCTTTTAAAGGGGCAAATCTCACTTCAGTGACCTAAATATGTTGAGCACTTATCAATGAATAACCCAACACTATATAACATAATGGGAACTGTAGTTGTTTAACAATGGGTTATACTTACTGTTTTACTGCTATTCTGGATTTGTCAATGACCTTCAAAAACTCAAGAAAAACTCCATTCATGGATTTTAAACGTCCGTCTGTAGAAGTGCAACAGGAAATCAAGTTTACTATGGGAAGGGTGGGCTGGGGCTTATTGTCCAAGCCACTTCCACCTACGCCACCACTTCTTTACATGACTGCAGCACAGTCACAGTACTCTCCTCCTGTGGTGTCTCAAAGGTCTCGGACGCAACAATACCTCTGAAAAATAGCTCTTCCTCTGATTATTAAGGTAGTCTTATGCATACCGGGAAATGTCCCACAGTGCACCCACCACCTCTGTTACAATGTTAATGTCTGGGCTGCTCCATATGCATAAACCCGGAGGTGCTCCAGATGTATTTTTAAACACTTTGTTAGGTTAACCTTGAGTTTCTGGATCTTATTTCTGCATCATATTCGTATAAATTTTTTCACCATAGATTAAATTAAATTTACCCCGATGAGCTATCATATTCTTATGCAGTGGAAGTTACTGGTTTGTGTTACCCAAACTCTAAGGTACACCGTAAAGACAATGTTCTACTTTTGCAATTCCTATGAGAGTGTCTAAACAAGTATAGCAGCTCCCTATTTCCTTTCTCCCCTGAGAGGCAAAGGCATGGTTGAGGGGGTCATCTCACTTGTTTGGTGGGAAAACAATAGCAGTGCTACAGTTGCTTCAATCACTGATGAATTTCTTGTGAGATGTAATTCTTCATCCTCAGGTTGTTTCCCCCATAAATCTAAATCTCCCTGTCTCTCGCCCTTTACATTTCAGATTTGTCAAATCACTTTTATGTCTCACTTCCACAATTATGTTGCATTACGGTTTGTGTACTGCATGGGTTGTATTAATGAAGATATTACAAATCTCTTGTCAGTCTTTTTTTTCTCTACAATGAATTCTCCTGTATGTGAGTTTCATCAGCTGGATTAAGACTGGAATGTGTAGAAGTAACTAAGGCAGCGGGACTGTTGTGGGACACTGTCCAAGCAGGGTAAAACCCCTGGTGTATCCTTCAGCAACAGTGCACCCTGCAGGTTGATTAAAACAGGAACAAGAACTGAAGAAACCAAGAAGATGCTGGAGATATTACTGTGAACTTTCCATAGCAAACTCCTGGGACTGGCAAGATAAATACTCTGACACACAACAAATACTGTGCTAAAGCGACTGGACACATAAAGAGAAAATGTAACAAACAGAGGTCCAAGGAGCGCAGATACTGTAGAAGTACAAATCCAGACACTCATTCTGCAAACAAGCATGCACAGACAAACCCGCACATGCATACACATACACACATACACACAATTCCACATAGCAGTGCCACCATGCTGTGCTTGGGAGTGGCTGCAGCGTTCCTGACCTCTGCCTTTCATCTCGGATCCAGTAACCAAACTGACTTTTCAACCCAGCCCTTTCAACGACACAGGGCCTAACAAGCTTTGGTTGTTTCTTTTATAAAACATGCAGATATCACCAGCACAAAAACAAGAACCGTTACAAATATGTGATCTTCTTAAAGCAGTGTGTAAAAAATCTAAAGATGAAATGGAGTTGACAACATGGATGTTTCATTTTGAACTACAAAGTAGGGAGATTCCTACCTTTAAAAGAGAAAAAATAGACCTAATAAATGAGTGAAAGAAAAAAACCTGTAAGGATCCATAGCATCTTCATTCTTTTTATGTTCTACTCACTGATACAAGATGTCATTCACTGATTTTATTCAGTGCTTTTAAATACTGTACATCTAAAGGCTGCGAGTAAAACCTCCTTTTCCAGATAATGCCATTCAAAGCTAAAAGGGAGAATTTAGAGAATGCTCTAATGTTGTCACCTCAAAGGGGATAAAATGTTCTGTTTTGGAAACAGATGGGCTGGTAACCCTTTCACACCTATCTGGCCACAGGGACCTTTACGAGGAGTCTGCTCTTAGATATCCAGCTAGTGTGTCCAATCTCTGTGTAATTCCTGGATCCGTTTGTTCTGCACATTTCACGCCAAGTGGGGAGGGGTTGAGACCATGACCTCCTGCGGTCCCATAACTCACAGGATGGGCTGAGAGAGGTGGCAGGTACCCACAGATGAAAGATAACAACAAAGAGATGTTTAGCATGATGCATGGCATCGCAGTCGGGGGGCCCCAGAGGATGATGGGATGGCATGGAGTGACAACTAGTGGGCCTGTGAAGTCTGTTTCTGCCATCAGGGAAAACAGCCCCACCCTGTGATAGTTAAGTGACAATCTCCCCATTAGGCTGGGCATACCAAGAACTCTGTACAGCTCATTTATCACCTTCACTGATTTCACCGTGGAGATTTGACAGACCAGGATCGAGTTAGGGCAGGGATAGTCTCCATGGAGCCTGTCAGTGAGCATACTGACAGATAAGCAGATGGCTAGAAGTAGATAGGCAAGACACTAACACAGACATATTTCAGGTAAAGAAACACTGTGAAAAAAATCTCTGTTGACTGACTCAAACTAAAGAATAAGAAAAATGCAAGTCATAAATACCTTGCTTTGGCAAAAAGCACTACATGTTAATCTATCTTGAATACTCAAGGACTTAAATCTCCCCATTTTTCATCCACACAAGAGGTCTCTCGAAGACATGAATGATTCATCTCTCCAACTCCATTTGGACAGGAAGTGAAAACAAATGGAAGTAGGTCCCCCCCGAGAGAGCCCAGGGGTCTATAATGGGGCTGGATGAACAACACTGAGAACCAGGCTAAACCCACCAAGCTCTGTGTCTCTGCTGCAACAGGAGTCAGATCCCCCCTCTGGGCCACTGTTCTCCTCCTACTATCTGTATAGAGAGAAAAAGATTCCTCACATATACACCTACTCCTTTATTCACCAACAGTCCCAGACCCAACTCTGCACTGTGAGCACACCTCTGACTTTTTCACCCTGCAGGAGAGATACATTGTCAGGTTGGTTTAAGGGTAGATTAAAATGATTTCTGTGTATGCAATGCACCAACTCTGAAGACAGAGAAACTGTTAATTATTTGTAACTGCAAAATGTAGAACAGAAACAACAAACACTAAGAGTGTGAGTGAGGAAAAACATATTTAAGTCAGAATAGTTTTGTGGCACCTGGACTACATTCAGATTGTCTGCACAATGTCTGCCGTACAGCCACACTCTTTTGCTTCCACTGGAGCAACAGCGGCCAAGAACAGCAAAATAAATAAAGGTGTGAACTCTCCATTTCTTTTTTGTGACAACACACTGAGACAGAGCCCAGGACTGCACTCGTCGGACTGCTTCTGTTTAATCTCAAAACACATACAACACACACAGAAGAGACTAATACAAAACAGACCTCTGGGGCAATGTAAAGTATAACGTTTTATTACTTATATTGCAGAGGAAAAAATCATCTGCTGTGAGGTTTGCTAATAATGCAGATAATCAGTGAGTTTAGAGGCTTCAAGGGGAATAGGAAAACAACTGATCTTAGCTGACTGACTGAAGTTATTGTCAATGTAATTTACTTTTGAGGATTTGAGAATCTTCTCAAAGCAAACAAACACGTAACATGTTAAATTATTAGGTATCATGAAACTCACCAAAACTACAAATACAAGTACAAAGTTTCATCCTGACAGTGCATATTAATCGTGTTCTTCGGGGTTACTTGTATGGATTACAGTAATGATAATCTGTAGGCAAAAAGTCCTAGCAGCCTTTTATGTAATACAGACGCTGTTGTATTCCAACACATATAATTGCTAGTTTTATCCTGTCATTTAAGCTTCCTGTCGTACCAATGAAGAGAACATAACAATGAACCACTGCAGAATAGAAACCAGCACCTTCCTCTGGGCATCAACAACACCCCTCCTCCTGCAAAAACTCACTGACCCAAACCCATT